TTTTTTTAATTTTTATTATGATATCCAGCTTTTATCGATAACAGAGCTTGATTAATAAACAGAATAATGTTCAAAAGATCTTTGTTGATAAAAACAATTCATGAAAAAATATTCAAACTTATGTCGCATATTTCATATTCACTAATATATCATAATCATAATGTATAATTATTTTTGAAAAATATTGATATCAAAAATACAAAAATTGCTGAAATTACAATCAAGCAGTTCAGAAATGATAAATTATAAATTTTATGAAAATAGTTATGATGAAAAGATATAAATTATAGATATTAAAGAAGTAATTTAAAGGAATTAGATATAAATAATAAAACAGATAAAGTTTATATATTAATATAACTTTTTAATCCATAATAAACAGAATAAAAACAAAAAAAAATATCCTGATTAAAGTAATTATAATTAAGGATAGTATAGAGAATATTTTTAATTCTAATTCAATTAGATATAATAATAACATCATTCTAGAAAGTATACAATATTTAAAAAATATCAATCATTAGAATTTAAATTTAAAACCATCATATTTTAGGTGTGGTTTGAATCTACAATATGATATTCTGATTGATTCACAAAATACTGAAATTGCACTACAAAGAGTAATTAATTTTTCTAATTTAAAATCGGGTGACTCGAAAATCGCACATAGGACTTATAAAAATATGTTGTAATAATCTATGTCTTATACTTAAATATATTATAAGATGTTTGATTCTTGAAATTCGCTGACCAGAGATAATTAAGCTTGATTAATCTTTAATTTATTTGTAATAGTTTAAATATGAATATTGTACAATTTAATTTAAGTTGTATTTTAATTTTTGTTGATGAAAGATCAATTTTTATGTTTGCAAATGTCTCTCAAATTGTATTGTAAATGACTTGAAAGATGCAAATTATTTTCTATTCAATTAATTAAAATTATGGTATTTGAATATAAATAGGAAGAAGCATAAAATAAATAATTTTAATACAATTTATTGATAAAGTCATAGATTTTATTAATAGTGTAATATATCATGAATTTTTGATTTAGAAAAAGGTAGCATTATAACTAGTAGATATAAAATTAAAAAAATAATTAAATAGGGCAGAAATTTAAAGCAGTTTATAAGAGTCAATAAATGTATACTCATTATGACCAAAACAGAAGAATAGTTACAATAATGCAAAATTAAATATGTTATCCCATGACTTTATCGCTTTCATAACCATTTTTATCCATAAAGTCCCTTTGATATTATTTACACTTAAAATTTTATAGTCAATTCATTTGATCGGCTTTTGAAACACAGTATATATTATTTAAGGTTTAAGAATTTGTAATGTTTATCCTTTGGTGTAAATTCTCTCAAAACCAATATGATTACTTTCTTTACAACAATCTCAGCTTATTCTCCATTTAATATTGTGTATACCAACTTTTTAAAAGCTCTTCTATTTTTAATAAATGGTTTACATATCAACATTTAGAGGAGTTTAAAAGCATCAATTATACTTTTAATTCATAAACCTTATTTATTTCTGTATATTACATCATTCTAATTCATAAACTTTTTATATCTTTCCTAAACCCCCTTCATAAAGCAAAATGGCTGATGATAGAATTTAAGAATTTAATAACATGCATAAGCACTATCGGTTAATTAAATAATTATTGAAAAAGTAGATGGGTCAATTCTATTTTGAATTTCCTTAAATAACTCTAAAGAACCATTATTTTGGTATCAGATTTGAGAAATTATTAATTTTGCAATAGCAATTGCGTAAATTGATTCATAGGATTTTAATTCTAAGTAATTCTAATTAATTTAAACTAAGAAAGAAAAAGGCATTAGAAATTCTAAAAATATTAAAATATTTATTAATAGATAAAATTTGGCAAATTGCATATCAATTTTTAAAAGTGATAAATTTGCTTATTATTGATAATTAATTTTAATCTCTTTTATAGAAATGGTAAAATATTAAGATAAAGTATTTAACTTATCATCTTCATTCGATTGGATCTAATTAAATTATGAGAATAAAAAAAAATGGATAATCTTTGTTAAATTTTAAGTTATTTTAACTTAACATTGAGTGCTACTATTTCTGATTTAGTTTATATTATAAACGTATAAAATTATAAAGTGAAAAAAACTAAATATACACATGAATTATGAATGCTCGATTTAATTGTTTTTTTTAATCAAATCATCTGGATCAATAGAAAATTTTTTAAACATATGTATTATCAAAATAATCGCTATATATAAAATAATTCAATCAACTAGACAAAAAGAAATAAATCATTTGGTTAGATTCTATTGTTGTAAATATTCCATTGTTTATGATTGTCCCATAAATATGATATTAAATTTCTTACAATTATCAAATTCCTTTATTTATTTTAAATTATTGGGAAAACCACATATAATAATTCTGCTTATTTTAATTCAATTGTATCATCTTTTGTTGATTCTCTTCAAAAACACCTTCCGTCAATTCAAATATAAATATTTTATCAATTTCTTTAATACTAGTAACAAAAATAAACTAATTGTCCTTCATAAACCTAACTTCTAGTCCTATAAAATTAATTGATTATTTATACTTGAAGTATTTATTGATTATTCGATTATAACAATATATTTAAATTCCATTATATTTTAAATTCCTCTTCATCACTCTTATGATTATCAAAGGATATTAATAAATCAGTTTATCATTATTGAAATCTAATTACCAAACTTTAATTGATTTATCAACACTTCATTTTCTATCATTTTTTAATTAATTTGATTTTAGCTTTCATTTTAAAATTTATAAATTGAAAATTGTTGAGAATTAATTAAATATAACCCATATTTATAGTAGTTTACTATAGCAAATAACTTTTAAAATATGCTATGATATCCATTAGAATAAAAATATGCAAAAATTACGTAATTTCTATTAAAACTAATACAAGGAAAATGGTTTTCTTCTGAAAGTGGAAACAGCTTCTCTGAAAACAACATCTGGATAACTCATTTATATAGGATAACTTCAGAAATGAAAAAGACAAAGTATTTTATTATAATCATACTTTTGATTAGAATATTATTAGACCCATGAAAATCAACACAAAATTAATAATATGTTTGAAATAAACTAAGATATTATGAAGCATGAGTGGCATCTTCAATACATCTGCTTAAGTTAAGTAGATAATAACTTTTTTGTAATTGAGAAAAGGTTGATGCAAAAGGATATTAATTAAGATCGGATTGTTTTATTTTTAAATGTGGCAAGTTAAGTAATAGGCATTTGAGGTAACTTTATTATTTGGTTGGCTAAAATAGAAAGGTATGTTAAGACTATATTTATCTAATCTGTTCATATACAATTAGAAAAAGTGTATTACTTTTTTTTATCCTTTCTATTTATCTAAAGGCATAAATTTTAATAAATAGAGGGTAAAATGAAAAACATTTTCTTTTATCTTCTTAACAGTAATTAAATTTATAAATTGAATTGCGTTATAACATAAATAACAAGAGCCATTACTTTTAAATAAAAATTAAAAATCCTCTTACGCATATTTATTTCAAATAATGCTAAAAAAATCTTTTTTAAAGTTCAAGAGAGGGATCATTATTTTCAATTTATCAATTAGTTAATAATAAATAATTTTTTAAAACGAATGCGAATTTATTACAACAAATAATCTAGAATGATCTCATTTCAAAATCTAGGATCTCTTCTAATTAACATAAAATGATTTATCTGAAATGAAGAATTATTTTAATAACATCAGATTAATTTATAAACATATTTATAGAAAATGAATTGATGTAAAGTAAAGTTCTGGCAATCTACTAAAAATGAATTTTTTATTAATAAAAACTAATTATGCTAATAATAATTCATATCAAATTATCAATCAATTCTAGTATTTTAAACATGTACAATTATTGAATTTTATCTTTAACCTCATCAACAATAATTTTGCTTACAACTGAGATCTTGTGTTGAGCTAATTCCTCATTTTTATAATAAATCCAAAATGTATTATTAAAGTATTTAACATATTAAGAGCAAAAAATTGAACTAATAATTTCGTCTTCTATTTAATTTAAATCTTATTAAGTAATTTCAAACTTAAAATCCTTTTCATATTCATTTAGGGACTTTGGTATTTAAAGTTTAACTTATTGTTAAATATTCTTTTTTAATACTACTCTTGTTCAGCTAAAATATTTCTTTTCTGTTAGGCATAAGTTTTATAATCTAAATTTCCTTTTGAATTTTAACCTAACTGTTTACTTATAATTGGAATAAAATAATGCAATAGGGTCTCAATCAACAATTATCCATCTTACTTTCCATGTTAAATAATTTAATTTATTTAGATATTAACTTATTAGATTAATTTATTTCTCTCTAAATCAGTATGATCATCATCAATATCCAAAGCTTAAAAAATCTTATTCTTAATACTCTCTTAATAATTATATTTTTATAGTATATCTTAAATAGTTTTCATAATTTCAGAAATGTTTGAATTATCCTTGCATTTATCAATTATAGGTTGTAAGATATCTTTTTTGTTTTATTGAGTCAATTTTTTTTTTAAACGTATATTGTCAATACATTTTTCTAAAATCAGCTTGACAATAGTTTTAATTTAAGTAGTTATTTAAATTCTCTTGAAGTTTTTACATAAAATGGGCATTAATATTCTGTGAAATGTATTT